CTTGAGCCACAGGTGCCGAGCCTAGAAGTTCAATTTGTATTTCTTTCAAATATGCCTATTATTGTTTTGTGGGATTTTATTCTCTCCTTTACTCACTTTCAATTAATTTATTTTATAGTTTCTATATTATAGTTCTGTTATCTGAACTTCTTGAAAGCTGCAGGTTATGTCTGTAACTCTAACCCAAGGTGGATTGTTTCCTTGTGTTTTTAGTTTTGGATTATGAATTTCTATTTGCTGTAAAAATCCCCTATGACCTAGTTTGAGGCTATGTAACCTCCAGAGGAATTCCGTAGTAAATTTTTTCTGCCAAATATCTCTATGTTTATATTAATTCTTTTGCTTGGGGGTTGCTAAACTGTGAGGCTAATGTAAATGTAAACCCCAAACACAAGAATGGTATGGACTTGTGATTTTGAGTTTTGACTCCAGCCCAAGGTAAAAAAGCTTCCATGTCACTTGCCTGTTCTGATTAACTGATTCTTTTCTTTTAGCCATCATAATTTAGCCTTAAAGTTCCCAGCTTTATGTAGGAGAAACAGAGTCTTACTTCCAATTTCCCACCTCTGTGTATGGGCGTTTCTCTCATCCGAGCCCCTAGTCATAAGATTGACCCCTTATCTCCCATAACCCAAGTATCAGCTCATATGCTTAACTAGCATCTTAGCCCATTTGTGTTGCTATAACAGAATGCTACCAACAGGGTAATTATAAAGAATAGACATTTATTTCTTACAGTTCTGGAAGCTGAGAAGTCCGAGATGCAGGTGCCAGCATGTTGTCTTAAGGGCCTTCCTGCTATATTCTAGCATGGCAGAAGGGCAAGCTAGAATAATGGCCTAAATTCTACTAACGAGAGTCCTCATGGCCTAATCACCACCGAAAGGCCCTACCGCTCATACTATCATATTGGCCACACCTGAATTTTGGAGGGAACACATTCAAACCAGTCTCAGGCCTTCATTCCTGGAATGCAAAGTGTTCTTTCTTTCCTGCAAAGTCAGCTAGAAACTTAAATGGAATGTTTGCCATACTTTATCCAGCATCTCTAAGAGTTTATAGTGGGAGGTTTTTGTGTTATCTCGTCTACTGTATTGTCCAACCATGAAAGCTGAAGTCATTTTTTTATTTGCAGGAAAATTCAATCTGTCCAAACTCAGAGTTTGAGAAACATTTTCCAGATGGAGAGCCCACAATTCCTCCTCCATCTCTCCCAAGTCAGGCTGCTGAAAATCAAACCTCCACAGCAGAGGAAGTTGTCCGTCCAAAGACAAAAAACATAAACAGATGTCTTCTTTCTGGAAGTTCATCAAAGCCTGCATCAAGTGGCAAAAACAAAACTGGGGATCTGCCTCCGAAGTCTGAGTTCAAGACCAGGACCCCCTCCTCTGTAGAAGAAAATGAGACGGCCTATGACATTCTGAGGAGTTGCTCGCAGTGTGGTATTCTACTTCCCCTGCCCACCCTAAATCAACATCAGGTACTGTTCTGTCCTGTCTGGTCTGGGAACGGCTTGAACGGTGGCAGAGAAATGGAGTACCTGCGGGATGTTTGCAAATGTTGTGGCTGGAAGAGCCCTTCCCTGTCCCCCGTTCTCTGTGTGCCCAAACGCACTCCCTCTTAGTACTTACCACCGAGTTTATCTGCATCACCTCCCAGAGATAGGGTTACCTTTGAAGATAGATAGAACTAAATGTCTCACCTCTGAGTCTCTACCTTCAAACCCAGGGACTGACACACAGCAAATGCTTCAAAATTGTTGAGTAGATGAGTGAAGCAGGGGTTACCCAGTCTGTCTCTCTCTCTCTCTCTCTCTCTCTCACTCTCTGTCTCTTTCTCAGTGTTGATATGGCACCTGAGGCCCAGAGATCAGAAGTGTCTTGGTCAAGATCCCAGGTTAGTTGGTGTCTTACCTCCAGTAAGTAGACCAAGGTTTGCATCAAGCAGCTCAGGGTTTTTTGGCCATCTCCCTGAATATCCTGGCTTTTACATCCTAGATTATTTTCTAATAATAATAAAAAATAGCATTAGAGGTAGTTAACCATTGTGTGCCAGTTACAATGCAAAGCTCTTTACAAATGGTTCATCTTCATTGCAAACCACAGGCACGGATTTTATCCCCACTTTACAGATGAGGAAACTGGACAGATAGAATAGCTTCCCAAGAGCTATTTAATTAAACAAGAGCAGGCTCTAGCCTGGAAGCCACATGTATATCACTACAAAGTTTATAATGTTGACCTCCAGTCTGGATCCCTAACTTTAATTTTTTTTTCCCTATATGATGTTTTCCGAAATACAAAAGTACTAGATTTTGTTGTAACTAGTTGACATAATACCACAAAAGGAAGTACAAAAGCAAAGCTAACCATGCCCTTTTCCCTTCCCATGAGATACCAATTTCCACAGCCTTGGGGACATCTGTTTAAAACTTTGTCTTGGTGTCCTCAGAGCTGAATGAGTACATACAGGGTTTGAATCATTTCTTTCCCGCACATATTATCTTCCTGTACTCACTACTCTGCCATTTACCTATTCCACGTAATATACCGGTATGACGCACACTCCTTTCAAAAAGGTAGACCTAAATCTTTATTCTTTATGCATTTGTATATTTGCATAAGCATACAGTTTTACAAAAATGGGCTAATTTCATATTTGCTGGGGGTGCCATTAGTGCCATTTTCCCTTGCCTCCCACAATTTCCTATTTTTCCTTCCATACTTTTCTCCATCCCTATATAACAAAGTTGCCAGATTTAGCAAATAAAAACACAGGACACTCACCCAGATTTATTTGAATTTTAGAGAAACAAAGAACTTTTTCTTTTTAGTGTAAGTATGTCCCATGCAATGACTCTGTTTCACTAAAATTAAAATTTAATTGGAAATTCTGCATTTGGGGGGCAACTTTATTATATAACCACATACAAACATACACATTTAGAATCTTATTATAGATTCTATTAAAGAAAAGTGCTTTATATCTTAATGTTATGATTCAGCAACATCCACAGAAATCCCTCCAATTCAAACAATATGGGCTCATTTTTTTTTTAATAGCTGCATAAAAGTCCACAGTGTGGGGTTGTGAGTGTTCTCTGTACCCCGATGGTGGCGGCTCCTCTATTAATGCTGTCCCCAGCCTCCCATACCCCTCCTGGCTCAGTGGGCTCTATGACTTTCCGAAGCCATCATCACACCCTCTGGACCCCAGTGGCTCAGGGCTTGCCCTGGGGAAGGGTGGACAGCATATCCAGAGACATCCCAGAAACTAGTACTTTCCACTTTAAATGTAACAAACTTTTAAAATTTCCACTTCTTTAGGAGAAATGCTGGCGGTTAGCTTCATCAAAGTGAGGAATTCCAGCTTGATTTGGAAAAAAAAGGTACTTCCAATTTAAATCTCATTTTTCCTTTAAACTGCTGAAATAAGAAAAAATCATGCACTGATTTAAAACAAACCCAATAAAGAAAAAAAAAAATCCCTCTCTTCTTTCTAGCTGAACAAAAACCGTGGGCGCTTCAAAACGCAGCAGTGATGTGGCACCAAGCCTGTCTGTCCACCCGGCCGCTCTTTCTTGCTTGGCTTTTCGTCCCCAGTGTCCCGCCTAACGTTGCGTCTGTGATGGTTACATCGCATTTTTAACACGGGCCCTCCTGCTGACTTTCTGTGGTGGTCTTGTGTGAAGAGACAGGTTGTATTTCTTGCGATTTAAAAAGAAAGGTTTGGCCTCACTATTTTCCTTTTTTTTTTTTTTTTTTTTTTTTGGAACAGAGATATTGGTTTACCCAACGGCTACAGAGAAAAAAATACTCCAGTTCTTCAGCCTGAGATTTCTCAGTAAGCCTCTGGCCCAGACCCCTAACAGTTCCCAGCTTTGTCCCTGAAAAGTAAAAAGCACCTTCCCTGAAAGTTTCTTGTCTGCCTTTATTTGTATTCCATTCTGAGTTTTCGGGGTAAGGGATGACAGCAGTACTCAGGAGAAGGGGAGCGACAGAACTGAAGACATGGGAAGAGGGAGGGATAGAGAAACGAGGTGGGCGGCGGGCCGGGCCAGGAGAAGCTCCAAGGGCGGCTTAGACGGCTCCAGGCAGGGAGGGCGGCTGGGGAGCCCACAGAAGGAAATAGAACGCTCCTACCTTTCTGCCTGGGCTTTGCGGAGACCAGCTCAGGGAAGGGAAAGGCCAAGGAAGACGAAGGCTCCCGACCCTTCTGAAACAGGAAAGGCTGCGCGGTTCTCCAGCTGGGTTCGGGTCAGGTCCGCTAAGGCTATCCTGCCGGTGCCTAGTCAAAGGAGAGGAAAGCGGAGCCCAAGGGCTGACTGCACTGCGGTGGTTTCCAAAGGAGAAACCTGGCCGACCCCTAGGGAAAAGGGGAGGATTGAGCGGGCCAGAGCCCCAAGTTCTGAGCAGAACCTGTTCCTCGAAGGCAAGGGGGCAGGGCAGGGGCCATGCCCATCCTCACCTGGAGCGCGGATCGAACCTCTTGCCTCCCAGCCCCGGCCGGGGCGCCTTCCGGGACGGTCTGCACCGGAGCCCTTCTCGCCCTCTGCGCGAGCGATCTGTCATCTGGCAACTCCGCACCCGCTGCGGATGAGCAGAGTCCCGCACGCGTGTGGCCGCGCGTCACAAAGGCGGCCCGGTGCTTGGCGTCGTTCCTGGGCGAGGGCCAGGCGCGGACCCCAGGCGCTCGCGAAGTTGGCGTCGGAGCAGCGGCGGCGCGGGAGGAGCAGGCAGACGCGCTCCGGGTCCCTGCAGCCCAGATCGGGCGCCTCCAGCGGGTAACGCGCGAGCGCCGGCCGCCGCGGCACCCGCGCGGGGCGGGGCGGGGGCAGGCTAGGGTGGCGGTGGGACTCCCGCAGGGCCGCGCGGGGAGAGGAGGGACCCTGGTCACCTGCCTCCACCCCTGTCCCGGGTGATAGGACATCCTTAGCTTTCCTTCCCGGATGGGCAGCTGTGTGAGCTGGTGGACCAAGCCTAGGTTTGGGAATCCTAGCCTGGGTTTGAATGTCACCGCTCTGTTTACTATATGCTCTCGCCAGGAAGCCTTAGGAACCTTCCAGCACCCCCGTTTCCGCATTTGTAAAATGGGTGAGTTCACATCATCCTCACAGGCTGGGATGTTGCAGAACATCCTTGGCACCAACTAATAGCCAACGCTTGCATAGCACTGACCCTGTGCTGGGCACAGTCCTGCTGCTTTCAGTACATCTGCTCATTTAATCCTCCCAACACCAGGAGAAAGGTACGATTTCTACCTTTATTTACAGACGTGAGGACTGAGGCATGAAGAAATTAACTTGTTGAAGGCCACAAAAGAGCAGCTAGGATCCAGCCCCTAAGCTACACTGGCTTAGATGAGGGCTCCGGGCAATAACTTTTCCAGCCCACCAGACCTATTCTTCCAACCCCACCCCTTACAGCCTCCGCGTCTGATGATTCTTCTGACTTAGGAGCTTGCTAGAGCTAGCGGTTTAGTTTAGCTTTTGTATTGGTTTAGCTTTTCTGGAGCACCTTCCAGGAGCTCTGCTCAGAGCCAGTGCTGTGGAGGGCCCTTGCCTGGAGCAGTTTACAAGTGATTGAAAAGACATCCTTATTTCTTCACTTGTCAAATATTCAAATGCTTTCTCAAAAGCAGAATGAGGATGTCACTATCAAGGGGTGTGTGAGTCCCATGGGAGAGAAAGGCAAGGACACAAATTATATGAAGGTGCAGACCCTGGGCATTGGAGACCAAGGAAGGGGAAGGTTGAATATGGAGATACTGGCTGGGAACTAACTGGGGCCCTGTGTCTTGGGTCAAGGCAGGGCGCTGTGAAATTCCTTAGGGAAATCTGTCCAGATGTAGAGATGGGAGGGCCAGCTGGATGGGGAAGGGAAGAGAAGGGGTAGTAAGGACAAAGGCCTGAAGAAATCCCTAGAAGACCCACGCACTAGTTCACTGGGTCATGCTTGTTCCACTGAGCGTTGGAGGGAACAGTAGAGAGGATGGAGGGCAGGCAATAGATAGATGCGTGGGTGGAATGTACGTAGAGCCATATGAACGAATCCTACAAACATTAAATACACGTTTGCAAGTTGACATACAAACAAAACAATGCACATCAAACACATATGCAAAATAGTTGCATATGGGAAGGATGGAATGGACAGACAGAAGGCTAAAAGGGAATAAATGAACAAATCAAACCAGAGTGGGGTCTTGCACAGACAAATAATCTCTGTCCTGACTTAAGATACATGATTAACTTATCCCTCTGCACCTCCTGAGGCCCAAAAAGCGGAGGTAGGAAAAGTACAGAAAGAGTTAACATGTCTAAGTTCTAGTCTGGGCCCCGTTACTAACTTGCTGTGTGACCACAGGCAAGTGCCTTCACCTCTCTGAGCTTCAGTGTCCATCCTCAAAGAAGTCAATTCTCAGATCTCTTTCTACCCCTGCAATTTTATAAGACATGATCAGTAATCATAATTTTCTTGGTAAAGTAGCCAATACAAGATTTATGGAGTGGTAGAGCTTGAATCTTGAGGAATGGGACCTTGGGAGAAGCAAAGAAAACAAAGGGGCTCGGCGCCTGTGGCTCAAGCGGCTAAGGCGCCAGCCACATACACCTAAGGTAGCGGGTTCGAATCCCCAGCCCAGGCCTGCCAAACAACAATGATGGCTGTAACCAAAAAATGGCCAGGCGTTGTGGCGGG